CCAACGTTCACTTGGGAATACTTTATTACACTGCGCGCACAGGTATCGATGAGAAGCATTGTAGTGAGCCTCATAAGAGGCGGTGGAGGGGAATTTGATAGGATGCTTATCACACCATGGTCGCAGGCGACAGATTATCGGTTCTTTTCTGTGATAGATGCTTTTGATTAAATGTCTTTTTTAAAAAAAAATAAATAATCTACGTAGAGCACGGTTTTCCATACTTGACTAGTCGCGAAAGTTCTTGTTTAATGACCTGAGAATCATATGGTGAATACACAAAGACATTTTTGGTTAACCATTGAGCTCGGGCCTCGAGGTTTCCAAGCTCGAAGAAAGGATCCTCTGGTGTAAATTTTCGTTTTGTCGGACGATAGATTGGCGTGGGGAAGACAAGATCTTCCATGAATATTAATGATCTTCGGTTACGTAATGTCAGATTTAAATAATAATTTAGATCACGTGAAAAACGGGTTAAATAACCCAAGGCTTACGTAATTTTGTTTACTATATAAATCGCATTTATTGGACTTCCCAATTAATCCAATGGATAATCTCATCAATTATAACTTTACATCAGATTATATTTAATAGAAATTCAGCGGTGTGCCGAGTCTACACACATTTGTTATGATCCATTCAATCCCATCCCATCCAATTCCACAAAGAAGAATGAAGTTTCTGATAATCTAAATTCTTTCCAATTAGTACCAATTTATCTTTGACAACTTCAGTTGCAACATTGTCTGAGTGTTGTAAATCATACAACTCTTGAACTCCTTGTACGATGATACGTGACCCCGAATTTTGAGATGTTAGTATACCTTTAAGACGTAAAATTGTGATCCCGTCGTTTTCAGTGGTGGTGGAATTAGCGACAATGGAATTCGAATCCGAAACCGGAATCATTTTATCCCACAACAGACATTGGATCCAATTCTCTATTTTTTTTAAGTCTATTGATGTCGTTGGAAATTTGGTCAGACAAATAGTTTTCACGGTCTTTTTCATATAGTCGTGAATAAATATGCATTGATCGTTAATGAATTGCATCACGCGCGATTTTGATATCAGAAGAAATATACCTCCTCAATGTGATGATTTTTATCGTTGAGTGGTGACGACGGTGAGTCGAACAACGAGGAAACAGATTGTTTAAAGTCAAAGGCATGAATGTCCAAGATGAAATCCAGAGGAACTCTTCGAAAGAAAAAAATATATATGTATGTGATTACCTGAAAATTAATGCGTTAGCAGAAAATATGATGAGTACCTTGATTTCTCTGTTCTAAGAATATTGACAGTCGAATTTATTGATCTTTATATTAGAAAAAAAAAGGGAGAAATATCTTGTTAGCACTTTCCATAAATTCCTTGATGGATTCTTTCTTTAGGATTCTCTATCATTATTCTCGAACGTTTAAATTCCGGTCAAAGAGCTTTCAATAAAAAATACCTAATTTGTTCTTGCACGCGGTCTACAGTTGACGGATCAACAAGGTCTATTTTGTTAATTATGATCCTATCAGCTACAGCTATCTGCCTATTTATATAAATGAGTGAGATTAGCATCTGAGAAATTCAATGTTCCGTTTGAACACAGGAATACTATTCCAACCTACTTTATAGCCTCGTTGGTTGTTGATCCATCCACCTTTTTCTCTGATATATACTTTATATGAAATATGGTAACAATTAATTAACACGAATAACAAGATGAGCAGTTCTATAATCGTGCGAGCGTGAATCATTACTTTTTGAATATACTTTGCGTCAACCAATGTAACAACACCATCCAAGTATATATCACTACCCAAATCATCATCCAACCAAAAAATTGACACTATTGGGCCTAAGGAGTAGAAATTCAAGAGAAAAGAAATTAGAATCGGTTGGATAAATAAAATAATGAAATAATCGGTGATCGTACCTGGGTCAGCGAGGCCTGTAGTTTCTAGCAAAATATAATCAAATTTTCCTTTCTTTTGCATTAAATTTTCTATAGCCTTTACACCATTATCCCTATGTCGAGAAATTTTGAGATTACCAGCACAATAATAATAATGATGATGAGGTTAATGATAATGATGAAATTCTCTACTTTATGGAACAACACAGGCATCCATTCTTTAACTCCAGCCACTCTTCAAATAAATCTCCTTCTTGGGCGATTGATAAAGATTTTTCAATTCCACTACCTGATTTCAATTAGTCGCAACAATGAATTCCAGAAGACATCAATTAAATATAAATTATCATTTGCAACGATGCTACTCACTTTCACCAAATTCATTTAAAATCACGGCAATTCTTTTACCATGATTCTCGGTTAAGATGTAGTTTAATAAAGTGGTTTTCCCCGAACCGAGAAAACCTTGAGTAGAATGAACGAATCATTCAAGAAAATAATTAAATGTCTCAAAGAATATTCGAGAATCTGATGTTTTACCTGTGACAATGGTTATCGGAACCTTCGAGTTGGAAATCTTTTCACTAATTTTTGAAACACGGACCATCCGCAATAAGTAAGTGAACTTTCATGAACTCTCCAGCATTTAGAAAATATGTTTCTCGTGCTTACACTTCCGTTTCCTTGGAAGAAGGTATTATCACTAATTCTGGTATTTCCGAATCATCGTCCATGTCAGAATGTGAGAGTTGAAGAAAAAATTGTTAAATATTGATTGGCTGATTAACATGTTACGTACACACTTTTATTTTGTCAAGTCTGATGTATGATCCTTTTCATATGACATGAAACGTAATTGTTCCAAGCGAAGTCGCGTATCTACTATACACACATAATTTAGTAAAATTCACATGATCAATTCATGCAAACTAATATATAGTTAACATTTGTTTTTTTAAAAAAATAATTAAATTTGAAGTTAGATATTTTCTTGGATCATTCAAAAATTAATATTTATTTCAGATTTGCAATTTAATCAATTTAATCCTGTTGCTATGATTTTTTCATTATTCGGCGATGTAGATAGTATTAACATGTTCACATAATTCATCCACTGCACTATGTTTATACTGGATAGACAGTACTATGTGTGAAATACATTGCTTCTGGTTTGATCCAAGCATTGCCTAAATTGAATGATAATAAGCAACAACATTAAGTCATGATGAATACACAGACAGTGTAATTAAACTAAATTAATACACAATATATCAATTTGAGATTTGATCACTGATGTTGAAACTTGGTAAATTCTGTTTTTATCCCATTTGGTATTTCTGAAATCACAATACGGACTCATATGGGTTGATTGAAATGCAAATTTTCTGATGAGACGACAAGGAAGGCTTCATCGAAACATAAATATTTGGGTCAAGAATGGATAATCCGTGCACGCTTATGCATGCACGAACTTTTTTTCTGGACATTTTAAATGGCTGCCGCTGTTAATTAATAATGGATAAAATGAGCCACTTCTTTTATGGTGCAGATCACGACGTTTCTTTGGAGAAAACGTATAAAGAAAAATCGGATTCATCTGTTATCTTTCGGAGATGTCTTTGGATAAGTCTTTATGCATTAAATTCGTAATTAGATAATTTCCCCGAAAGTAATTCTATGACTTTCCAAGGTTTTACATAAAAAAAAAAAAAATTTTTTTTTTTTTTCACGGTAGATTTTTTTGTTCTTTGCGCATAAGCATATATAGTAGGTCGTAGAAATGTCTGTGTGTAGTGGTTTGCATATTCGCATGCAGATTTTAACTCGTTTTACCAGATCTGGTATTTATGGTGGGTACGAAAAGTCACGCACATGAAAATTCCTTGTAGACATGTAATGCACGAACATCTCGGGAGATTTTTTTTTTTTTTTTTGCTCTTTAAAAAAAAGAAGCTTTTTTTTTTTTGATGCGATTACCTTGATTGGCAGATTGACAAGCCTTTTCTAGTTGCGTTTCACTAATGATGAATTAGCAGTTCATATAATTGCGTAACTTAACCCACTTCTCATCAATAACACTGTTATTCATGACTTACATTCAACCTTAATACAGTATGTATTATAAAATGATGTTTGGATTATGGCACACACAAAACAATAGAACGCTCAACTGTCGCAAAATATTTCTGAGACGATAATGGATCATTTTCTTATTGGTCGAATCCGGTAGCAACTTCTGACGGGAGTCGATAAGAATTGTTCGTAGTAATGAGGTGACCATGTATACATTGTGTTAGCCTATTAAGGGTCTTGGTGTTTGTTTGACAAAGAGAGTAATCGGAGAATTGCGTGTGAGAAAATGACCCCTTGTTCATGGTAAATCCTTGACATAGTCGATTAGTTCATTGATAGAGATTGACTCAATTAGGAGCATCGCATTTGAGGGGCGTTGGTTTGCAAACCAAATAAGCCAGGTATCAGTTCTTGTTATTAAGATGTAATGATATGATTGAAAATCGTCTGTCTTTTCCCAAAAGTAAGCAATACAAAACAAAAAAAAAGAAAATTTTTACCGGGAAAGGCCAATTGCAAAAACAAGGGTTAATTTACGTGTCAGCTCCTTTTGTTCAACAAATATTTTTTGAAAGTGTTATGGGCAATTGCGCAAAGAACTGGTCAGATGCATATTCAAGGATATTAGTCATTTTTTGTTTAGTGGGACGTAAATGGATGATCAAACACTAGACCAAGTGACCAACAACGGGAATTCAGCATCCCTCTTATACATATAAATATGCTGAATATTTTCACATTCGAATGATCGTTTCATTTTGTCTACAATAAATTCTTAAACAGAACGTGTTTTTCTTTATACACAACACCAGAAATCATTGTTTTTTTCTTTTTTTCTCCTGCATTCGTCTTGATTAAAAATAATGGGTCAGATTGCCTCCACGATTTTCCAAAGTGCCGATAAAGAAGAGCAGTATCGAAAGTATCGCAACTTGGCCAGTGAACAGGCCAAACTACGTAATGATTGTTTCCTGCAATCGCAAGATGCCTATAAAAATAAACAAGGAAAAAAGGCAAAGGAACTATCGCTAAAAGGAAAAGAACACGGAAGAACAATGGATCAATATAACGCCAAAGCCGTTGAGATCATCTTCACTGGTTTGTTTGTTTAAGAAAAAAATTTCGTCACTTTCCTCAGAAATTTCTCTTACCTTTCGTCTGCCCATTTCACAACAGCAAATAATGAGAATCGTCCGAACGATGAAATCGACCTTCATGGATTGTTTGTCAAGGAGGCGCTCGAAAAAACAAAACAAAAAATCGAATACTGCGAAAAACTCAATATCGACCATCTGACCATAATTGTGGGACGCGGTAATCACTCTCAAGATGGTATCGCAAAACTAAAGCCCGCTATTGCGGAATTAATGGAGAAATATCAATTGAGTTGCACACAGGACAAGCCGACCATAGGTTGTTTATATGTGGAATTCGGAAATGCCCATCGAAAGGCGGATTTAGGTTTCTTGTCTTTCTTCGAAAGTAAATGCGTGATTTGTTAGAAGCCTGAACATGGTTTAAGAGGACTTTCATGATGGTTCGCGATCTTTTGTAAAGACAGTACCATCTCATTTTTTTATAGATATTTATTATTTATTGCAACATCAACTACAATTTTTCTTCGCACTTACTCTCTATAAGTTACTTTCCCGCTGCATACTTCATCCCTAATAGCATTAGTATAATGTATATAATTCTTTCCTGGTCAATTCTGGGATCGTTTTTGAGGTCTAATTTGGACTGCCAATCGTGGATCTAGTCTACAACCATTCTAAGAAAAATCGGTGATTGTACATATGACACTTCGTATTAAATCTTATTATAATTTCATTATTACTTGAAGTTGAAAAGCTTCATCGATATGAAAAAATAGAAAAATAGTGCAGATGTAAAAAATATTTTGTATATGACAATTTAGAACTAAATATAAACGTTAGGAGGTTTAATGCTAATTAATTTATATAATTTATAACACGTTTTTTTGCTCACGTATTTAAACAATTAAATTATATGATTTCAAATAAATGGTGTAACTAACTGGATTTTTAATGAATTTAAACAAATACATATTCTTTCGGCTTGAAAATTTTTTGTTATTGTTATACGCAAGTTATTTAAAATATATTAAAAAATTTTGAATTTTGAAGATATGATGATTTGTATAAAAAGTTGTGAACCTTTCATCTTTATACCTGCTGCCTAATTAATGTAAGCAAAAACTTAAATATCAAAAATCATTTTCTAATGTTTAGTAAATAAATATATATACAGTATATACTATGTGTAGGCTGAAATGTGTATAGTAATCAAAATTTATTATTAATTTAATTTTACAATTTCATAAGTCATTATATTTTAGACTACAATTAACTTACTTTTGTAAACATCATTTATATAATAATTATAATTCATGATTAAATAAAACTTTACATTTAATGAATGTTTATTTGTAAAAAAATTTTTTTGTCATATTTTAATTTATTTAATTTATATGTTTCATTAAAAAATTGTATACAGTAAAATCTTTATAAATTAATATTTTATAAATTAATTATTTATTAATCATTTCTTTAAATTTATAAACTTCTTTAATTACATATATTAAAATAGATAATTACTAGTTCAAATTGATTTATTCAATATAATATTACTTTTAAATTATTTAAATTTAAATTTATATAATTTATACTTTAGATATGAATTGATATATAAATTTTACAAATAATTTAATTTATTAAAGTTTTATTATGTGTGTATAATTTTTTATCAAATTTTTTTCATAAAATATATTTCTCTTTTATATTTTGTTATGGTTATATTTGGTTTATTACATATTTATAAAAATCTTATTAATTTAAAATTTAATATTTAAATAAAATAAATTAACTAAAAATATTAAAAATAGAAATTATATATTTATTTTTTTTTTTTGATTTTTTTTTTTAAAAAAACAAATTATATAATGATATATATCTTTTATTAATACTTAATATCTAAATTATATATTAAATATCTTCTAAGTACAAAGTTATTTTATACTATTCATATGTAAATAGAATTAATACTACTTATTAATTATTATTAGTAATAGCTAATTTAATCTACCTTCAATCCAACTATATGAACTTGTACTATATAAGTGGGATTACATATCAGGTAAAACTATTTCAAAGAATGAAAAATCTTGTCATTAGTTTAAATCCACTTAAACCTATTAGTTTATCTAAGTTATTAGAAGTATATACTTTTCAAAGTTGATTAAAACATCCAGTTAATCTATTTAATATTTTTCACTTAAGACATCAAAGAAAATACTATACTTGTTATTACCATTTACAGCTTTCATTTGTATAACAGATTGTTTAATTTTTTTTAAGCAAATGCTGAATTGGGATAGCCCCAAGTTAGAATGTTCTTTATATTATAAAGTCTATCATATCAAGGGAATTTGTAAGCTTTTATAGAAATCAGACCAGAAGCTTTTTCTCATACAATCTTTTCTACTGTAATTTGTTTTCAATCCACAATTATTAGAAAGATCAAAGGTCCCATTTTTATACAGTCTAACTAAATTTAATCAAAATCTGGATGTTTAAATACTTCATATATAAAAAAATTAGTAAATCTATATACAAATGAATTTTTATGTTTTGCCTTTATAGGTATTGAATTAGAAATCTACTTTTAAAAATATGGAAGCACTACTTACTATACTATTAATCTATGAGTCTAAAAATTATATATATATATTTTAATCCTGCAATCAGGCTAGTATTATTTATTTATTTAATCAAAAACTGAATTATTACAAGTATGAGAAAGCCTATAAAGTAAAAATTTTCTTAACCTAGCTCACCCATTAACAGCTAAAGCCTCTAGATATAATTTATAGGAATGAAATATTGTTCTTCAGTTGAAAAAGATTAAGATTCTAATATTTCAATAGAATTATAATCTGCAAATCATCTTTACATATTAGTTGAAATTGATTTATTCAGCATAATGCCACTTATCAATTATTTATCAAAAAAGTATATAATTTGACAATTAATCAAATTTATATAACTTTTATCTTCAGTTATAAAGTGACATATAATTTATTTACATATAAATAGTACACTTTTTTTTAAATCTTATTTTGAAAAAGTTAATATTTTGACAATAAAATAAATAATTTATTTTTTGCATTAAATATATA